GCAGGGCCCCCTGCCCACGCTCCCCCTCTACAGGTGAGAGCAGCCCCCTTAGAAGCACCCACCCATCGGGGTCCTGTGCCCGGCAGCTCTGCCCTCACCCTGACGGGCAGCCACCGCAGGGGCCAGCGGGGCCGTGGTGCTGCAGAGCAGCCGCGGGCAGGGGGATATCGCAGTCTCCACCGTGCGCTGCCCCGTCTCCTGCCGGTCCCCTTTGCCTCCCGCTCCCGCTTTTCCCATCGCTGCCGCTGGCGACGGGCCGTGCGCTGCACACCTCCAGGAAGGGGATTTTTGGGCAGCCCCGCCAGCGCCCAGGTAAAGCCGCAGCTGCGTTCGGCACAGCGCACCGCAGCCCAGCGCAGCCGTGCTGCCAATGTACCGCTGGCCACGAAAACCACCCTCCATCCCCTGGAAAAACCTCCTTGCTTGTGCCTGGGGTGGGCAGCGGCAACAGCATCCCAAGCGAGGTCCAGGCCACAGAGGCATCCGGGTCCCTTCCAGGGCATCCCCGGGTGAGGGGACACGTCCCACGGGCAGCACCGCAGCCCTCACGCTCTGGCCCTGGGAAGGCTCCGGCTGCAATGCTGTTGTTGTTTTGAAGGCCAAGTCTCTCCCGCTGACACCCTGGAATTAGTCTTTCTTCCAGAGTCCTTAAAAATATCCTGGATTTCTGACACCGGGACTCGGCTTCCGATGGCGCTTCCAAGCTGCCGGGCCTGTGGCCAGCCGTCAGCACCGGGGGACAGAAGGCGTCCAGCTCCCGTGCTCCTCCTCAGCACGGAGATGATGGCGGTGGGCAGGGGGGGCGGGGTGCGGGGGAGGACCGCGGCGGTGCCGGGGAGAACCGCGGCGCCTGCCACGGCCAAGCTGTTACTTGCCATTCCTACGGCGGGACGGTGCTCAGTGGGGCACAGGCACAGCGCAAACGCTGCCTTACCTCGGCCTCGCTCCCGGCGGCTCGCGGCACTTTGGCGAGCGTCCCCGCGCACGGCCAGGAGGGTGGGAAGGCTCTTCCCCGGGGACCTCCAGCAGCCGTGACCCTACAGAGCCCCACGGCTGAGGATTGGGCTGCAGCGAGGGTCCCCGAGGGGCTCTCCCTGGCCAGGATTTCTCCGTGCATCCCTGGGAGAGCACGTGGCCCCAAACACCAGCTTCTGGTTGAAGCCTATGACCCGCTCCCGCCAAGGGGCACCCGTGAAACACCGG